AGGATAATCTGAGGGTCGCCTACTATGATCAAATATAAATTGTTGAACGCTAAAGCTTAATAACATTAATCGACACATATTTTTAAAATGCTAGAAAAGAAGAATGTAACAAAAGAAGTTATGTTTGTAAAACATGTATGCCCTATATCGGCAGCCAATCAGTCATTCGCCAGTTTATTGTGACTGGCTTTTGTCTTGGTGACCAAAATTCAATATAGGGATGTCTACTTGTAATGACAAAGGACTAGGTCATTGTGACCATTAAGGTTGTGTGCAGCAATTTCATGACAAAGTTATCACAAAATCTTGCCAAATATAAATGCATTTTTGTGAATCATGTAGGCCTCCTTAAATCATAAATGACAGCCAATTTGTTCAATTATATCAGACCTTAAAATGTTTTTTACCAAAAGCAATTAAGTTTAATAAAAACTAGAACTATCATTAAAGGTGATTAATACCCCCGCAAGACTGCTTCGGAAATGAGGAAGTTACTAGTAACAGAATACCTTGCAAAAGAATTGAAGTAGAGTTATGGTTGTGGACAGTTAAAGATAGTTGTGGTTCATGTATGTTGCATTTCCTTTCAATGTGGTTGACCATTGATGGAGTTTTATTGAATTACTCTTTAATAAGTCCTGAAAGAATTACGCTTCTTGAGCACTGCACTTCATCTCATTGCGCTTGACCATTGTATGAAGTTTCATTGAATTCTAAACATTAGTTTCTAATTATGCACTGTACAAGGAAAAGGAACAAAGGGCAATAACTCTTCAAATACTGAAGAAGGAGTTATGGTTATTGTAAAATGCAGTTCCTCTCATTGTGCTTGACCATTGTATAAAGTTGTATTGAATTCCAACTACTAGGTTTCAAGTTATGCACAAGACAAAAAAGTAACAAAGGTCAATATCTGTAATTAGCCCAAATAGAGTTATGGTTCTTGTGCACTGCACTTCATCTCTCTGCCCTTGACCATTGTATGAAGTTTCTTTGAATTCCAACCATTAATTTTCAAGTTATGCACTGGACAATAAAAAGTAACAAAGGGCAAAAATGAGTCAAGAAAGAGTTATGGTGCACTGCGCTTCCTCTAAATACATGTCACAATTGTATGAAATTGTATTGAATTCCAACTAGTAGTTTTCAAGTTATGCTCTGGACAAGAAAAAAAGCAATGGAAAGGTAACAAAAGGGCAATAACTTTATAATAACTCTGGACAGAGTTATGGTTCTTGTGCACTGCACCTCCTCTTAATGTGCTTGACCATTGTATGAAGTTATTTTGAATTTCAACCAGTACTTTTCAAGATATGCTCCGGACAAGGAAAAGTATCAAAGGGCAATAACTCTATAATTAGTAAAGATGGAGTTATGGTTCTTGTGCACTGCACTTCCTCTTTATGTGCTTGACGATTGTATGAAGTTGTATTGATTTCCAACTAGTAGTTTTCAAGTTATGCTCCGGACAAAGAAAAGTAACAAAGGGCAATAACTCTGTAATTAGTCAAGATGGAATTATGGTTCTTGTGCACTGCACTTCCTCGCAATGTGCTTGATCATTGTATGAAGTTGTATTGAATTCCAACCATTAGTATTCAAGGTATGCTCAGGACAAAAAAAGCAATGGAAAATTACAATTGGCAATAACTCTGAAATAAGTCAAGATGGAGTTATGGTTCTTGTGCACTGCACTTCCTTTCCATGTACTTAAACATTGTATGATTTTATATTAATTTCCAACCATTAGTCTTCACGTTATGGTCCGGAGAAAAGAAAGCAATGGAAAAGTAACAAAGGGCAATAACTCTGTAATTACTTTAGATACAGTTATGGTTCTGGTGCACTGCACTTCCCCTTTTTGTGCTTGACCATTGTATGAAGTTGTTTTGAATTCCAACCAGTAATTTTCAAGTTATGCTCCAGACAAGGAAAAGTAACAAACAGCAATAACTCAGTAATTAGTGAAGATGGAGTTATGGTTCTTGTGCACTGCACTATCTATCAATGTGCTTGATCATTGTATGAAGTTATACTGAATTCAAACCATTAGTCTTCAAGTTATGGTCCGGAGAAAAGAAAGCAATGGAAAAGTAACAAAGGGCAATAACTCTGTAATTACTTTAGATAGAGTTATGGTTCTTGTGCACTGCACTTCCCCTTATTGTGCTTGACCATTGTACACATGTATGAAGTTGTTTTGAATTCCAACTAGTAGATTTCAGGTTATGCTTCGGACAAGGAAAAGTAACAAAGGGCAATAACTCTGTAATTAGTGAAGATGGAGTTATGGTTCTTGTGGACTGTACTTCTTCTCAATGTGCTTGACCATTGTATGAAGTTATATTGAACTCCAACCATTAGCCTTCAAGTTATGCTCCGGACAAGGAAAATACAACGGACGGCTGGACCGACCGACCGACCGACCGACCGACCGACCATCGAGTGACTCCTATATACCCATCAACCAAGACAACTTGAAGTGTTGAGTTATTGATATAAAACCATTTTTATATACAATGTCAATGTGAATTTGACCTTTAAATCAATAGAGCTTATCTACTGGCCAAGACCTGTGAGGTTTTAAGGTCAAGGGCCTCTGTAATCTTGACCGCTGACCTAAACTCCACTGAGGTCAAACGCAATGCATTTGTGGAGTTTGAAGGTCATGGGGTCCATTAGTTGTGCAGTTATTGATAGAAAACTATTTTGACAAACAAGGTCAATCCATTTTTACCTAAAGTCAATATGACCTCGACCTTTGACCCCTTGACCCCAAATTTTATAGGGGTCATCTACTGGCAACGACCAATGCATTTATGCAGTTTGTGGGCCAACAGCAGATGGGTTGTCAATTTATTGATTGGAATCAGTTTTTAACAACAAGGTCAATGTGACATTGACCTTTGATCCCTTGACCCCAAAATCAAAAGGGTCATCTACTTGCTAAGACAAATTCACCTATGCACTTTAATGGCCCTGAACCCATGGGTTGCAAGTTATTGATCGGAAACCGTTTTTAACTACAAGATCAATATATCCCTGACCTTTGACCCCTTGAACCAAAAATCATAAGGTGTCACCTACTTGCTAAGACCAATGTACTTATGCAGTTTGAGGTCCAAAAGCCAATGGGTTGTCAAGTTATTGATTGGAATCCGTTTTTACCTACAATGTCAATGTGACCTTGACCTTTGACCTTTTGACCCGAAAAACAAAAGAGGTCATCTACTTTCAAAGGCCATTGCACTTATCTAGTTTGAGGGCCAAGGGTCTATAGGTTGTCAGCTTATTGATCGGAAACTGTTTCTACCTACAAGGTCAATATGACCTTGACCTTTGACCCCTAGATCACAAAATAAATAGGGGTCATTGACTTGCCAAGACAAATGCACCTATGCAGTTTGACGGCCAACAGCCGATGGGTTGTCAAGTTATTGATCAGAATCCATTTTTACCTACAGGGTCAATGTGACCTTCACCTTTGACCCTTTGTTCCCAAAATCAATAGGGGTCATCTGCTTGCCAACACCAATGCACATATTCAGTTGAAGGGCCAAGGGCCCATAACTTGTCAATTTTTAAATCAGAAACCGTTTTTATATACAATGTTAATATGAACTTAACCTTTGACCCCTTGATTCCAAAATCAAAAGGGGTTATGTACTTGCCAAAACCAATGTACGTATGCAGTTTGAGGGTCAAGGGCCCATGGATTGTCAAGTTATCTATCGGAAACTGTGTTTACCTACATGGTCAATTTGTCTTTCACCTTTGAACCCTTGACCCCAAAATCAATAGAGGTCAATTTCTTGCCAAGACCAATGCAACTATGCAGTTTCAGGGCCAACAGCCAATGGGTTGTCAAATTATTGATCAGAATCCGTTTTTACCTACAAGGATAATGTGACCTTGACCTTTGACCCCTTAACCCCGAAATCAATACGGGTCATCTACTTGCCAAGACCAATGCACCTATGCAGTTTGAGGGTCAAGGACCAATGGGTTGTCAAGTTATTGAATGGAAACCGTTTTTACCTACAGTCAATATGACCTTGACCCTTGACCCTTGATTCCAAAATCAAAAGGGGTCATGTACTTGCCAAAGCCAATGTACCTATGCAGTTTGAGGGCCAAAGACTCATTGGTTGTCAAGTTATTAATCGGAAACTGTTTTTACCTACAAGGTCAATATGTCCTTGACCTTTGATCCCTTGACCCCAAAATCAATAGGGTTCATCTTCTTGCCAAGACCAATGCACCTATGCAGTTTGTGGGCCAAGGGCCCATGGGTTGTCAAGTTATTGATCGGAAACGGTTTGTACCTACAAGGTCAATATGACCTTGATCTTTGACCTCTCGACTCCAAATTCAATAGGGGTCATCTACTTGCCAAGACCAATGTACCTACGCAGTTTGAGGGCAAACAACCAATGGGTTGTCGAGTTAATGACGGGAAACCGTTTTACCTACATGGTCAATGTGACCTTGACCTTTGACCTTTTGACGCCAAAATCATTAGGGTCATCTTCTGGCCATGGCCATTGATTTAAGGGTCATCTACTGGTCATGACGAATTACATACCAAGTTTAAAGTTCTAAAGCTTAAGCGTTATATACATGTAGTTATTGATCGGAAACCGTTTAATTTACAGACCGACGGGGGCATAAAATTTTAATATTCATGATCCAAACTGATATTGTTTTAAATTTCATGATTCCTCTCTTAACTTATACACTTGAAATTATACATTTAAATTATAACAATATATCAGTATCTCATCACTTTATCACAGATGACATCTTGTAAATTCAATATGCAAAAACAATAACTGCTAACTTTAATGATATTCAAATATTTTCATTTGGCAAGTTTTTCACAATTCCTAGCCATCTTATTCTGTCAAGGTAGACTTTACAATCAAGGATGATGAATATAAACTACTTAATAAAACACTGACATTTAAATTTGATGATGTAAGGTGAAAGGAAGAACATACATATATCTTTATCCATTTAAACAAAACTTTCGTGACATTGGTAATACAGCCAGAAATCGCCTGTATAGTCCCAGTTGTTGTATTTTCTAAAATCAGAGGCTCGTAATCTGTAACAAAAATCAAAAGTATTCATACATTGAAAGTCTCTTATTAGAAATAAACTGATTTCATTATACAATGTAATATTAGCTGTACTAAAAATTCATGTTATTTTTTAATGTGTATAAGAATCTTTTCAACAATTTTGTATTCAGTTTCACTGGTGAAGTATGTATTATGCTATAGATAAAACTGAAGGAACTTCTACATAACCCTGTAAACGTCCATTAGATAAAAGCAAGTCATGCCCGCGGGCAGAATGACGAGCCTGCTCGTCTAAAATCAAACCTGAACCTTAAACCTTTAGATCAAGGAGAAAGATGTATACATAAGTGAGATGTGCATTATATATCCTCTGTATACCAAAAACATCATCTTAGGTGACCTTGACCACTGACATAGTGACGTGTTCACGTGATTGACAGGAAGTCTCATGATAAACATTAGTGCCTAAAAAACTCAATTTATGTTATTTGAAAATTACTCCATGCACAAAGAAGTTATGGCAAAATCAAGCTTGGAAATACGCACAAACAAACACTGAACTGCCATTTTGACAATATGTCGAGCTTAGCGCATGCGGATTCGCCAAAAATCCTCGGACCACTTGCCATATAACTTCAAATTATTAACAAGATATAGTGCGGACAACCAAATTTTGATATTTTTATTTGACCTTTGACTTCTTGTGACCTTGACAAGACAACTCAACTCACCATGGAGAACATTTGTATTAAATTATCCATCCATGTATATAGAAGTTATATTCACAAATGAATGTTTTAATTTGTTATTTGACATTTGACCCTGAAGAAAGACCTTTGCCACAGATACCTGAATTTTTTGTGTGATACTCCGTTTTACTATTGAGAACATTTGTCCAAAATTGTATTGAAATCCCGCCACATATGTTAAAGTTACGCTCCGGACACAGATTTTGGGCCGACCCCCTAAGTGTGACCTTGACCTTTGAGCGGCAGACCTAATATTTGCAAATGATACACCATCCCATCATCGTCAACAACGATATTTTGAATAAAACCTTCTTGTAACATTGAGCTTCATTTTGTGTGAGACAACTCAATTCAACATGAAGAAAATTTGTGTTAAGTTTTATTTAAATTCATCCATGTGTAAGGAAGTTGTACTAGCAAATGACAAGCATTTTTTATATTTTTAAATTGACCTTTGACCTCTTGTGACCTTGACCTTTATTTTGCGTGAGGAAACTCAACTTTACATGGGAAATATTTAAGTTATATTCAATTTCATCCATATTTATAGTAATACTCACAAATGAATGTTTCATTTGTTATTTGACCTTTGGTTTCTAAAGCTACAGTCTCACTTACATCCCCGCAGAGCCCCGGTAGACGTCCGGGGTGATCCTGGAACGACCGGGAACAACCGGGGTACATCCGTAACTCTGCCGGCAACATCCGGCATTTGACCCCGGATGGAATAAAATATTTTATAACCGGGGTGGTCCGGGATGATCCGGGAAGTATATCTTTGCCGGCTTCATCCTTAGCTCTGCCGGGAACGACCGGGGTTACGCCGGTGAAGCATCGTAGCTCTGCCGACACAAACCGGGGATGATCCGGGGTATGATATAGCCAGTAGAGCTACGGGTAGAGCCCCGGTGAATGCTAGCAGAGCCCCGGTGAATGCCGGCAGAGCCCCGGAGGATGCCGGCAGAGCCCCTGAGGATGACGATGGAGCTACGGTTGATCCCAGTAGAGCCCCGGCAGAGCCCGGTTCATTTCAAAAGAATCACGACAATTTGCGATGATTGCACTTGTTTGTATTAAAACCCTTCCCGTTTCCTTCTATCCAGTCTTGCATAAGGATTTTTCAGAAAATCATCATGAATTACGATTCTGGAACAATAGATATTATATTTAATAAAAATTATGTATCAATGTAATCATTTTCACTCGTTTTCAATCCACCGGGGTTCTACCGGGGCTCTGCCTGGATCGACGTGTGCTCTGCCGGGGCTCTGCCTGGATCGACCGTGGCTCTGCCTGGGTCAACCGGGGCTCTTCCGGCGTCATCCGGGAACGACCGGGGAAGCACCGGCATAAACCGTAGCTTCACCTGGGCTTTGCCTTGATAGTCCGTAGCGCATCCTGGGTGGGTAGTTGGGAATTACCGTAGTGCAGCCGGGGTTAGTGTGACTGCAACAATAATTTCATCCCGGATCATCCCGGTAACTTACCGGGATGGTCCTGGGATCTGCCGGGGGTAAATGAGACCGCAGACACCTGACTCTTTCGAACTACATCTATGAAGAACACTTGACCCAAGTTATATTAAAACCCCATGCCTGTGGAAGTTTATCTCCAGACACGGGTTTTGCACTGACCCCAAAGTATGACATTGTCCTTTGAACGACGGACTTGGGTTTTGTGTGTAATACAACACCACCCTATCATGGTGAACATTTGTACCAAATTATTTTGTCCTTCAAGGAATTAGCAAGATATAGACAGGACAAATCCGGATGAACGCACAAACTGACGGACGCACACATGTACATAAACCAACTTATAATACAGCAAAAGTGGCAACAACAAGCGGGCTGTAAAATGTAAAATTTTCTCAAAAATTTACAACCCCATCAAAAATGAATTTTTTATTATGACAAAAGTGTCAAATGTACAAAAATTGAACAAATGGTATTTCAAAGGAAACATCGAATATTTTGTACAAAACTTGTTATTCAATTCTGTTTCTAAGTAATTAATGTCTATTAACTTAGATTATTTTTTTGTCAAATCAATCTCCAGATATGATTCTAAGAATATTACGATCACATGATTGCACAGGCTTTAACAATAAGATATATTATTCAGAATTATGAAAATGGGGGTCTAAGAGTGATACATTTAGAAACATAAGAAGGATATTTATGTGTAACACTAAATACTTTAATTATTTTGTAAATAACAAGAGTACCCTTTCCTATCAAGTATTAGTAAACATGGAGACCAGTTTTTAACAAATAAACATCAGACAGTGCAAAATAAATTTTAAATTTTGTAAGGATGTTTTTACTGGTCTCATACAGTTGGAGGAATTGGAGTGAATTTTGCTCACTTCCTATGTGCCATAACCCTATGTTTAAAATAGGTAGTTCTACTGTTTGTTTCTCAAGATATGTAAATTGCGGCATCATTTTGCTGAATGAGTTCCAAGACAGTACAGGTAATTTGATATCATTTGATAAATTTTTAACTAAGATTGACATAAATACCATTTAAAATCAAAACATTAACATTATAGTCTACTAATTTACCCCATTTTTTTATATTACTAAATTACTTTCGTTTTAATCTTTGTATAATCTTAAAAGAAATCTTTTTTTCCTTTTTAAATGTAAACACAAAAACATAACACACTTAGATAAGCGAAAAGTTTAATCGGAAAAGGAGACTGTAATGTATGTTTACCTTTGACCGAAATAAGCTGTGAATCAGTACTGGTTCCGTCTGAACACACAAACTTTCTTCCATTGTCTTTCATAGTTAGCTTGATAATTGTCAAGTTGAAGATGTGATTTGTCGCATCATATGATATCTTGTATTGATCAATGTATTTAGGGTTAATGTCACATCTGTTACGTACACACTGAGCAATTGGTGAAATATCGTTTAGATTCATCCAAGCTATGGCAAACGTTTTATTCTTGAACTTGCAAGGTAATGTTAGATCTCGGCCACATTCACATGTTTTTCCGTAAGCAAGGCTGTCTGGTACCAATATATTAACATTTGAACCTGAATTTAAACAAAAACATATCATAATCAAAGCACTGAAAGTACTGAAGTATACATTGCTTGATAATATAATCCATTTTTGTCATCAAGGCCATGTTGATTTTAACCTACTGACCTCGAAAACAATAGGGGTCATCTTCTGACCAAGGTCAATGTCCCTAACAAGTGACTCACATGCACCAAGGCTTTTTTCTTCCAAAGTTATTTATGAGACAAGGAAGATGTGATGTTCCATCTGTGTATTGCTAGGCAAGCTGATAGATGAGCAATAAAGAAATCATTTTTTTGAAACAGCGCCGTTAAATGGACTGCAGTATAGAATATTGAATCAGTCATATTGAGTTTCCAGTGATGCTATCTAATTAAATACATGATCTGGCTTGAAACTCTATACAAAAGTCAATTAATTGAATCATCCTACAAGACTTAATAACCAAATTTATGGTACACTCCTTTTGTATAGCTTTCCATGTTACAGATCTATGTACTGTACTTTGATGCATTAATACATATATTCTGGTGTGTTGTTATTCATCTCTACACATTAATTTTCAAATGCATTACTTTATCGTTTATTAATAAAAATAAATCTATAATCAAAACAATTCAAATGTATTGTAAATATTTTCATTATTCAATAATTGTTACATATAGTCTTCATATACAACCTTTCCAAGAAATTCATTTATATTGGACAGCAAGTTAACAAGGGGTTTTCCATAATCAGGCTGTGTTACCAACTTCTTAACTTTAGATGAACCATTGAGCTAAAACATTTTTTTTCTAATTTTTGGCTACTGTGCCCTACTTCTGATTTTCAACTAAGGTGATCCATGTTCAAACTCGAGAAAAACCTGTCACACACATTCTTACGATGTTGTGTGAAAATTGGGGCAAAAGTGTGACCAGTAGAGTGTTAACAAACTAAATGACCAGCAGATTTGTCATCGTCGGATACACATGGTTGATTTACATTTAACATGACATAACTGATAAATGTAAATGGTTCGGCCGTGGGTATCCGACGATGCTAAATGTGGACAGATCACAGTTGACATAAGATGGATGACCGACATTCAACAATCTAAAACCTCACCCTGAGTCAACCTATAAGTTTCACCACTGAAATAAGTAATAAGATACTGCGTAATGATTTAGATGATGTGTAGCCATTTTATCAGAAGTAAATTATTGCTTTTCTATATATGTTCTTTACTCTATTGTAACTACGCAAGTTCATATAGCATATAAATATAAAACGACTACTAGATTAGTTTTTACTATAAACAAATAAAAAGTAAAAGATAATTATTTAAACGATTGAAAAGTCTAATTTTATGGGTATTTTCATTCATATAACTTTCTTATCGCGGGTCCAATGTTTTAACGCTGACTGTTACATAGCCGAAAAAACACAAGTTTTTCATACTGTACTTATTACAAAAAATAACTGACATTTTACAAAGGTAATAAAATTTATCTAATAGTTATTCATTTAAACGGTTGAAAAATGTATTTAGCAGCACTTTTTTAAATATATCTATTTTATCGCAAGTAAATGTGTTTTTTTTTTTGTTTTTTTTTTTTTTTTTTTTTTTTTTTTTTTTTTGACGCTAGGCAGTAACATAGCCGAAAAACACTTTCATACAATGTTTATTACAAAAATATTACTGATATTTTACATTGCTTACAAATATAATGTTATAATTATTCATTTAGACGGTTGAAAATTTTATTTAATAGTTCTTATTTTAAAATTGTCCATTTTATCGCCAGTAAAATGTGTGTTTTTGGCTTGCAGCCACGGCTGCAAGCCATTTGTTTTGGATAAGTTGTTCCGGTTAGGTGGTTTCCTGCTTACAATTGTTAGCCCATGCATAGCATTAACCTTACCACGTGCTGATCTACCTGTGTTGTCGGTATATCTGTGATCACACATATTTTAGGTGTAACATAGTTGATACATGCTTATTAATTGGTACCACGTAACGTTTTGTTCGAAGTCTTTTAGTGCATTTACTTGTCTCTCTCTAAAGCTGCTATATAAATGAAATTAGCAACTGCCAAAACGAATGACTCTCTGCGAAAAATGTGGAAATGAAATGTGCACACTTGTTTCCCTTCAGTATGATAGATTGATCTCAACGTGAGAGTCAATGTTATTATTTTTACGATTGATTATTTTCTTTATTAGTTTTATACAATAGAGAATAGATCTCGAATCGTTTTTGACAAAAAAATATTCGTTTTTACAAAAAAAGTTGCTACTGTTATCGTCAGCATGTTCCCGTTCAGTTATTATCAGTGGACTTCTGGTCCCTATTTGGTCCAAATTTGCACGCATAACACTGGTGCTCAAACAAATGGGCACAGGTACTCGTCCAGTCTTGGGCTTACCCTACCTATCCCTTTAAAAGTGAAACTTTTTTTTCGAGAGCTATACCACGGATTTATATATAATATATAATGTAATGTAAATCCCTGGATATACAAATACCGTAATTCAAAATAAAGTTTCCTTTTAAAAGGAAAGGCTTGCACAGTTGCGCCTTCATCTCAACCCTTAAAAATTGTTGGTGTTTTTTTTGTTTAAATTTATCATCACAATTTTTTTGAATTACGGTATTTGTATATCATAAAGTTTATATTTAGTTGTTTTTTTTTTTGTGAAAACGAATATTTTTTGTCAAAACAATTTGTAATCTATTCTCTACTGTATAAAACTAATAAAGAAAATAATCAATCGTAAAAATACTAACGTGGAGATCTATCTATCATACTGAAGGGAAACAAGTGTGCACATTTCATTTCCACTTTTTTCGCAGAGAAATCATTCGTTTTGGCAGTTTTATTTATATAGCATCTTTATGGACAAGTAAATGCACTAAAATACTTCGTTACGTGGTAGGCCTACCAGTTAATAAGCATGTATCACGACCACAGATATGATGCGCTATCAGTAGATCAGCACGTGGTAAGGTTAATGATATGCATAGGCTATTTTTAGATTACCTCATCAAGACGTTGAATTGCGTTCATTAGATCTAAATATAACTCGATCATGCACTAATATTCTGTGTGATTTGGTAAGCAGGACCACCCTTTGGAGACGGAATACTACTACAGTAACCATTCTCTATTGTATAAAACTAATACAGACAAAAACAATTATAAAAGAAACTAACTTTTGCGTCTTGAAAAAGAATTGAAACGGAACAATTTCGTTTATAATTTATTACGGTTTAAACCGATAAATCAAGTAAAAATAGAAATCCTATTTATATAAACAAACTGGGATTACCGAAGTAACTAAAATAGCTTAGATTTCCGTAATATTACCTCGTCTGATTCCGCAGTATGACGGAATCGCCCGAATTGTCACGATTGCAATCGGAACTACATCGGCTATAATCATTAAACCGAAGAGTGACGGAAAGGGCCGAAAAGTTGCGATTGGCACGATTGCAGCTGGTTTCCCGTTCAATCATGCAATAACAAATGTAAGCAGAAAACCACCTAACCGGAACAGCTTTTCCAAAACAGATGGCTTCGACAATTGATAAATTTATTGATCGGAATTGTGAAAAACAATTTCTCTAGTGATTAAAATGGAAATTAGCATATATTTTTTTTGTCTGTGACGTGTGTTTTTCGGCTTTTCTATGTGCGACGCAGGCTCAGCGAATACATTCATCAGCGTATTTTTTTTATATATTATCGATTTAAAACTGATATTATTGAACCCATTTCATCAAATAACCACCAAAAATTGTTTATATTGCTTAATTTAATCACAGCCTTAATATTTCTTTGTATTTTAAGTGTTTTCGGTATTTTTTGGTGTTTTTTGGTTTTTCGGTGTTTTTCGGCAATTCCATGCACCCATAAATATAAGCAGATTAAAATAATTCCTATTTTCTGAACATAAATTTAATGTATTTATTTCTTAATGCTTACACTGATTTACAGTTTCAAATGATTATTTCTTATCGTCGAATCTGGCCATATATGCCTATATTTAGCTCCATGCTCTGGCTTAATCGTCAATATCCCAAGTTCGACGAATCTTTATTTTTACCCGTACTGAATTAGGCAATCTTCGCTTCATTTCGAAACATATTTCTTTTCAAAAATCTAAGGCATTCAAAAGTGAAAGGAAAATCATGTGTAAAAAAGGTATTCAAAAGAATAGCTTACGAAATTTCTATTTTTCGAAGCCACGATAATTGCCAGGTTTTTTAAAAAAAACATATTCCGGTATACCGGTATACGCTGGTAAATTTTGTTACGGAGCTCCATACTCATTTTGTAAAACATTTTAGGCCAATTTTATTGCATAAATGTAAATCAGGAATTTTATTGATTAAATATCTATCTGAGATGTTTCGTCCCATTTATATAATTCTGACGACTTTACAATATTTACGATGTATTCATTCGTGCTAGCAAGCGCATGCGTATATGCGAAGTTTAACGCGTAGGTATAAACTACGACTTTATCAATGAACTGTTATTTTTTGTTTTCTTTAAAGGAATGTAGAGTCTGTTATTTCATGAAAATGAACGATTTGGAACTTTCAAAGCATTTAAACAACTTTGCAAACACTATTTTAAATGATGTGTAGTCGGAATGTAACGCTTTTGCAGAATGAAGAACTAGTTTCTATAGCGGTTTTTATCCGGGAGTGGATGTTGTTCGGTAACGACTTAACCTGTAACGATTTCTGAGATATAGCTTATGACTCTGTATACATTGCAAGCAATGTATACAAATATATCAATGTGTAAGGGGGGAGGTCATAAACGTAAAATATATAAATAAAGCGAGCGTATGAAGATACTTAGTCAAGTGAATTATAGAAAGCAAATGGAAAAGAAGTCATCTTTTATTTAATCACTATAAAATAAACAATACCAATGCCAAGTAGGACAGCCGCAATTGATGGGAATTTACAGTTCGAAAATGAATAACTGTCAGAAGAACATAACTCTTCTATTAC